GCGGCGGACGCGACGACACGGCGGACTGCGTGGGGCAAGGCACAACGAGTTTGGAGCGGTGACGCTTTTGTTGCTCTTGTGCTTTTCCTCTTTCTCTGCGTGGCGGCGTTGGACGGAGTGGCTGCAGTGCTGTGCTTCGGGCCGCGTTCTTTTTGTTTGCGCCATTTTGCCTAGTCGCAACGAGCCACGTCTCGCAAGCGAAAAGCGCTCTCCTTTAAGAAGAAATTAGACATCCTTCGAAAGGTCGATGAGGATCCTAAGAGAAAGCAGACAGAGTTGGCTAAGAAGCTAGGCCTTGCAACGTCAACACTGAGCACAGTTGTTGGACAGCGAGAGACCATAATGAAAAACGTGCTTTCGTTCAACGTCAACGCAAAGCAAGCGAAGACCGCTCAGCACGTCAAACTTGAAGAGACTCTTCCTGACTTGGTTTAAAGAAGTAACCGCAGCTGGCGTAAATATCGATGGCAAAGTTTTGCGGGAGCAAGCCGACGAGTTTGCACTTGCTCTGTACATCGACGGATTTCAGGCCTCATGTGGGTGGCTGCAGCGCTTTAAGACTAGGCACGCTCTCGTTTACAAAAGCGTCTGCGGCGAACTGACGAGGCAGTTGTCAGCAACTGGTTAGAGAAGCTGCCGTCACTCATTGCAGAGTATGAGCATCGTGATGTTTTTAATGCTGATGAGGCAGGTCTGTTTTTTAACCTGCAATCCGAAAAGAGCCTCTGTTTAAAAGGCGAAGCATGCAGAGGAGGCACAAAAAGCAAAGAGCATATTACTGTGCTCTTGTGCTGTAACGCCGACGTATCGGAAAAGCTTAAGCTGACCGTAGTTGGAAAGTTCCAAAAGCCCCGGTGCTTCAAGCGCGAGAGTCATTTGCCGTGCGTCTATCGCGCAAACAAAAAGGCGTGGATGACGGCGGCGTTGTTTGAAGAGTTTCTGTCACTCCTTGACAGGAGGATGGCTTGTAAGAACTGCGCCGCCCACCCGAGGCAAGTAATGCTTCAGAACGTCAAACTCGTCTTTTTACCCGCAAACGCGACGACGCACCTGCAACCCCTTGACGCTGGGATTATTAAGAATGTGAAGCACCATTTTAAGAGCCTTCTTGTGCATCGCCTATTCGCTAAAATTGACCGAAAGGACGAAGGTGACAATAACCCCCGAATGCAGAGATGTTACTTGGCTTGCGACTTCAACTTAACTTGTTCAAGTCGGCGTGAAGCAAGCAGCGGATTTCAAAACGCCCAAGTCAGCCTTCGGGTTTCATAGATGCTCAGGCTGTCTTGCTTGGTCAAGTCAAGAACGAGCTTCAAAGCAGAAACACGCTGCTCGCCTGCTAACGAGGGTAATAATGAAGCTGTTCGTGTAAGGCATGCATTACAGCAAAAAAAGACCATACGTTTTGAAATAACTATAAGAACGAAGGGCCACAAGCATATTCTTGCCATTTTACGGCTAAAGAGTGGCACGTGGTACCTGCCGCCACAGCAATGCGCAGTGTTGCTTCTGTAAAGCGTCCGTTGCTCGCTGGTTTTAGTGGCCACCCAAATGCAGTGCGTTTCTTCACGGTTGCTTGTTTGGAGGCGAAACAAACATCGCGTTGAGTTCTTTCGTCGTTTTTTTTTTTTTTTTTTCAATCGAACGCCTCGGCATGTATTTGTGCTGACCTGGCTTACGAGGTGACGCAATTTTCACGGTATTTGCCTTTCTGTTCGCCTGTGTGCATGCCTGTAGTGGGCTAGGTCGCAGTTATGAAAACAAAAAAAAGTTATGGGAACAAATGTGATTCGTATCTTTTTGTTGAGCTTGGTAATCAAGAGAAAAAGGGGGGGTCAGGACATTGCCCTCAGCAGAATTCTGTCTCGCAGGGTGCAGTAGTGTATCGCTGCATGATGGTGAAGCGGATAAAAAAACCCGTGATAGGGGCACCTCTTTTGTATGTGTGTGGAATTTCACGTGGCATTGTGCAAGCGATGCGTTTCTGAGCGAGAAACAGCGCCCTAGACGGGACGAAAGGATAGACGAAGCACACAGACACAGCGCCGAGTCAGTTTTGTACCGAAAGAGGCGGAAATTGTAGTGTTTTTTTTAAAGAAAAACAGAAATGGCCGTTGCAGTTACAGAACACTACCCGACCGAAGCTATTAATACGCACGTGTGTGTAGTCGACACAGCCTGTAACACAAGGGTATTCAGCCACTTCATAAAGTCCCGCATAACAATAGAAAGTGCTGCCGGCTGCGGAAAGCGCACCAGCATTGCGTACAGGTGCTTTGCGATGAGTAGCGTAACTTTTCCTACTGCACGGCAAACTGTCAACTACGGAATGCGGATGAGATTCCCGGTGACTGTTTGGAATGTGCCAGCACCGTAAAATCCGAGAGCCATCAGTAGCTGTAACACTGGAGGCACAGGCTGTCCTCGGTTGTCCCCACTTTTCCGGAGCGGCACCATACCCAGCAGCTGCCGCACGGAGTTTTTCGTGAATCTGTATTGAGCGTGGAATTGTTCCTCGTTGTACAACTCCATCAGATTTCCTCGATCATGTAAAGCGGGTCCAAGAATCTTCGGCAGGCAGTGCGCCTCAGAAAATGCTACGCTTATGGCGAGGCAAGCAAACTCAAAAGCGGCCACCTTCCTCGCGACGTCCATTCGAGAGGTGGCCTTGTTGGAATAACGGGTGAAGTCGCTTTCAAGCTAGCTGAGGATAGTTATAGCGCGAGAATAAAACGACGACACAGAGACAAGAAGGACACGAAAGACACAAGCGCTCGTGTTTTTCGTGTCCCTCTTGTCTCTGTGTCGTCGTTTTGTTCTCGCGCTATAACTATCATCATGCAATACCAACTAGCCCAAGCTGCCACACTTCTAAGTTCAAGCTAGCCCCGCAGCTGACTTGAAACTTGACCTGACTTCGACTGAGCCAAGTCGCCTTCAAGTCGTCTGCAAGTTCGAAAACGATTTATGGTGACCGGCAAGACTGTCTTGAGTCAAGTACGAGTCAAGTAACATCTCTGCATTTGGGTGTAAGCCTTTTCGATGCCATCCATTTTATAGCTATGGCATGGGATCGGGTAACTCTAACTACCGTAGCGAACTGCTTCGGCAGATGCGGCTTCTTCGGGAGTCCAGAAGAGGTGCCCCCAGAGCCCGAAGATCCTACAATTGAGGACTGTGAACAGCTCAACGTCGAGTGCACATCTGATCATTTTGGCACGGCAAATGACAATCTCGCCACCTGTGGTGCGCACACGGTCGAAGATATTGTTGAGGAGGCCACGTGCAAGGCTGCAGATTCCAGCGATGATGGCGACGAAATAGACGTGGGCAACGGCGAAGGACCACCACCGGCGGCTGAAACGCTGCACGCGCTCGACGTTCTGAGGTGCGCTGTGGCCGCGGATGAAGTCAGCGACCACACGTGCACGCGTTTTTATGCTTTCGAACAGTCTGCTAGATGACCTGGTGAAGAAAGAGGCAGAAGAACATCGGAGACTTTTTCATCAAGAAATAAATGCTTTTTATGTACTTGTGCCTGGAGGAATTCATGTCTGACTCTTTGTTAATTTAGCTAGTTTTATTTGTTTTGATGATACGAATTTCGGCTAATACGAATATTTTTCGTGACCCCGTGAGATTCGTATCATCGAGATTCTACTGTATATGCCCAATTAAGCTGCTGGGAGGATAGCAGCCACCATAAAAATGGTGGATTCCACCATGCACCATTTTGGTGGATTATAGTGCTGGAAACATTGGCGGCACATGGTGGATGTTGGAGGGCGGAAATGTTGGAGCGCGAAGCGGCGTCTGAATCACTGTGACGAGCTGCCACTAAAGAAAATGAAAAAAAAAATAACTGCACAGAAAACAATCCAGAAAGCACCCGTGAAAAAAAAAAAAAAAAAAAAAAAACCCTACCACGAGGATTTGAACGTGCAACCTTCAGATCTCCGACTGAAGATGCTAACCACTAGGCCACGCCGACTTGTGGAAAGCTTGTTGCTAAGTCACAACTGAAGTTATGAACCGACCGGTCAACTTCAGTTTGGTTTGTTGCTTACTCCAGATAGACTGGATCTGCACCTGCTACTAAAGCTGCCACATTCATTGAACACAAAAAACTGCTGCCTAGAACGATTTCCGCTGTGATAATGGCAGCAGCGCTATGTTTTTCTTACAATTGACAACCGCAAGAAAAAAAAACCCAAGTGGATGAGGACCAGGTACAGTTTACCGGTGGTTACTGTCAAGTTTATTATTAGTTTCTCGTTTGTACTAAAGGGCAACATCTGCTCAGGCTTTATGACGCCTCTAGGCTCATTTGATAGATATGTCCATACAAGTGATTGAGTAAAGCAATGTTGGCAATGTAGAGCACAGTCGTGCCAGCGCACTGCTGTAGCTCTATCGTTAGCAACAACTACATAACGACTCGGCCAAAACGAATGCAGTGTGCAGGAAACACGCTATCATATTGGTTAAGTAAGCATACGAATGGACAAGTCTGTATTCTCGCATAAAAGCCAGAGAAGTGCTGGCGAGTGCAACAGGTGGCTGTCGATGACGGGAGGCGTACGCTGCTGGAAGTGCTGGTACTGCGTCGCATCGATGTTTGTCGCTTTTTGCGCGGACACTGTACACTACAAAAATGCTTCATTTAGGTTAAATTAAGCCACGGCTGTGCTCTATTGTGGTTCTCTCTCGTCGAAATCGCGTATTCTGAAACCCAGAAGCGCCGATAACACTTGTACGAGCTCGGTCGGTCGGCCTAACCTTTGGTGGAAATCGGGGTGGTAGAGCAGAAGGGTGAAAGTCAAACTTGCTGAGGCTCGTCTCGACGTATGTCGAAGGTAGAAGTTGGTGCATTTTATTGCGCACGCACTTTGTTAACTTAAAAGTCATGTAACTGGGTTTGCAAGAATTGCCAGAGTTGCGTTTCTAGCTTGGCGACACCAAGCGACCGCAGTATTCTGGTCTACTGTTGAAAGAGATAATTGCGAACTGGAGCTCTTTATTTCTCGATAACTGCACGGCGATGTAACACATTTACTGTCATTGTTCACAGTATACCTATCTTCTAAACATCACAGCAAAGCATCACATCGCGCATTTCAAACTGATGTATACGTGCATCAAATGTAAACAATCACGGCCACATGCTACACTGCACGAAAATTGAAGCATTGTTGACACAGAAAAAAAAAAAAAGAAACATGTTAGAAAGCGTAGTGAGCGGCGTTGGATTCTTTCGACCGTAAATATATACTCTGAGCAATCCAGAGTGAAACACTATGAATAATTAAGTGGTTTCACATACTACCATCTGCTTTTTCATCATGCCACCATCATTCATCAAGCTTCCATCATACCACCGTCATCCAGCTTGTTAACCAAGCCATCCACCAAACACGTTTTGAATTGCCATGATCAGCCGGCATTTTCTATCGTCGCCACCATTCTCCGACACCGGCTCTCTGACACCGGCCAGGAACAAAGAAGGTCGAACCCGCGACCCCCTGCGAGCCGAGGACGTGAACGACCAAGGAGCAAGCGTCTACTCTTGTTTCTGTACTATCTCCTCGCGACATTTGCACGCTATTGCTAACACCTAGTAATAAGGTGCTGTTGTTGACTTAGCTAGTTGCCTTATTTGCCCGAACCCGCGTAGCTGCAATGAGACTAGCTACGGATAGAGAGGGAAAAGAAGAGAAAAGTGATAAGAGGGAAAAGTTATAAGAGGGAAAAGAAGAGAAAAGTGAGCCCCGTTACTGTCTGCATCAGGGTGCGACACTTCAACAGTAGCTCACAAGGGATGGGGTGAGGAGGAATTAAAAGGATAGGATTAACAGTATATATATAGAGAGGAATGCGCTGGGACAGCGAGCGAGAACATATGAGGAGATAGGAGAGATAGGAAAGATGGAAACACGATCACAGGAGTCCGAGGACGGGGCACCACTTGTAAGAGCTCTTGTCGGCGTCAAAAAGGTGGCGTAGGGCAAGTCCTGTAGGTCAGAGCTATGCTGCCGTCGGAGATCGGCGTCAGGAGATGACGTAGGGCCAGCCCAGTAGGCCAGAGCTATGCTGACGTCGGAGATCGCGAGGGCCCAACCGGTCGGCACAGAATCCAGCGAGCGAGTCGAGGGCCACCTGATCGAGGCAACTTATGATGGAGCATTGCTACGGGCACAACACAATCGAGCGGCACGGCTAAGCTAGTGATCCGCTGGGATAGACGCAAGAGACGACACCGTTTCGTGCATCTCCCTAGGCTGTCAATGTCTCTAATCCTGGGTCGAGACTTCCTCGCCAAGCCAAGTATCGTCATTGACATTGCAAACGGCACTTACCGCTAGCGTGACGGAGACACGCTAAAGCTTTTCTTGAGGACCCCCGCATCAACAAAAGCATGCCAATCGCAGGGAGAGGCGCGAGTACGCGGTGAGGAAAGCGCACCGAGAAAGCAAGTAACCACCCTGCCGGAACAATGTGCTGCGCTGCAGCGAAAGGCAGTCCACCTGCTTTTGGTAGCGACACAGAGCTTACTAGAAGCAGAACAAGCGCAGCCTGTCGTTGCTGTTGTACGAGTATGATGCAATGTTTACTGACCGTCCTTGCACCACTACGCTGGTAAAACATAGAATTGACACGGGTGATGCACGACCTTGGAAATGCAATCCTCAAACGATCAGCTTGGCTAAGCCGAAAGCACTCAACGCCACCTTGGACGAACTTATCGACACAGGCGTAGTTGAGAGGTCAATAAGACCATGGGGTTTTTTGGTAGTTCTAGTTCCAAAGAAAGATGATACATATCGCCTTTGTGTAGACTACCGCAGGCTGAATGAAGTTGCGAAGAAGGACGCTTACCCTCTTCCCTCCATTTCATCATTAGTATCCAACTTCGGCGGAGCGAAGTACTTTACTACGCTCCAATGCTAGCCGTGGGTATTTTCAGGTTGATATGAACGAGCGGGATAAAGAGAAATCGGCTTCACATGCCACAGGGGACTGTTCCAATTCAGGAGAATGTCTTTAGGTTGGAGAGAGCCCCCGCTACGTATAGAGGTTAACGGACCATGTTTTGGGAGATGAAGTGGCCACACGCACTCGAATATCAAGACGACATAGTGGTTTACTCGAAGACGTTCGAGGAGCCCTTGCGCCACTTGAAAGACGTTCTAGAAAGGCTGAGGTCTGCGGACATCACTCTGAACCTGAACAAAGCTCAGACAGCGGCGACCCGAATAACATTATTGGGATTCACGCTTGACGACGATCTCATATTACCAGATAAGGGTAAGCTTGAAGCGATAGCTCTCCATCGCCGAACAATATCAGTGAGCTGAGGCGCTTTCTGTGGATGGTGAACTTTTATCGCCAGCTCATTCCAGATGGCGCGGCAGTGCAGGCACCTTTGACGAAGCTCTTAAGGAATGGGGAGGGTTGGGCTTGGAGCCAAGAACAGGAGGCGGCACTGCATCGCCTCACGAAGTTGTTGGCCAACACTGCTCAGCTGCAGCTATCCGATTTGAACAGAGAGTTTGTGATTCACACAGACGCAGGTGACCTGGGCTTACAAGCAATTCTGCATCAGGAGCACGGAGTTTTCCTCTGACCGAATGCGTTCACGAGCCGTACGTTGACGCCGGTGGATAGGAACTACTCGGTAACCGAAAAAGAGTGTCTTGCGATAGTTTTCGCACTCCGTAAGTGACTTTTACATCGACGGAGTTGCGTTTGCAATTGAGACTGACCACATGGCGATCACATGATTGAGGCGCTTGAATGAACCAAGTGGCCGCCTGGCCCGTTAGGCATTGCTGCTGCAGCGTCACGACTTCACCGTTCGCTACCACAAGGGTAAGAACAATGCCGCGGCCGACGCACTATCGCATGCTCTAGCTCGACATGAGGCAAGTCACGCGATTTACTCGGAACGAACCGAGAGTGAGACACTCGTGCTAATGGAAACAGCGGAGCAAATGTTAGTTCGAGGTAAGAGCGTGAACCACTTCAGAGGCTGTCGTTAGTGCAGGGATTGTTTTCAGCAGAAGGGAACTGTTAGAAGCTCAGCAGAAAGATCCAGTTTGTCTAAAGGTGTTTGACGGGCTCCGGAAGCCGTGTGGTAATGAGGCCACTGGGCACATGCGCGCAGTTGGTATTGCTGTTGGTGCGGTGCGCTCTGCAACAGCTGGTAGTGCTGTGAGCGCACTGGATTCAAATCTGCTTGATTCTGACGGCGTCCTGCTGAGGTATAACCAATTCGATGATGACACAAGTGAGTCATTCAAAGTCGTGATACCGCGCTCATTAAAGGGAGCACTTCTTCCCTACTTTCATGACTTGTGCATTGCCGGGCATGCGAGCAGCCCTAAGACTTATGCTAAGTTGTGTCGCCTCGCTACCTGGCCAAGCATAAAGCGGGATGTAATTCGCTGCGCCCGTTCATGTTGAGTGTGCCAAAGTGTCAAGCCATAAGCCCGACTTCATGCAGCCAATTAACAGTCACACTCCCTGGCAAATCGCGGCACGCGACTTAATGGGCCCATAGCCCACAACTCCTAGCAGAAACAAGTTCTTGCAGGCGATCACGAATCCCTTCACTAAACAAGTGTAACTTTTCCTCCTTAGGAAGTTGACGGCTCGAGTGATCTCAGAAAAGTTCATAGAAGTTTTCACCAGGTTCAGATTCCCTGAGCAGTTGATTACAGACAACACGTCTTATTTCACTGCAAAGGTGTTTTTTGACACGTGCGCCACGTTGGGCATTAAGCGCAAGAAAAAACCACCTACCATGCTTAGCCGAACCCCCCGGAGCGAGTCAATTGCAACATCAAGCACACGCTTGTTGCATTCTCCGAGAGACATAGAGACTGGGATAACTACCTTCCAGAGATTGGTTTTGCATTACGAGGACCGTGAACCGATAGACTGGGTATGCACCTTCTTCTCTGAACCTGGGGAGAGAACTGCCGAATCCGATGGAGACCGTACTTGCGGATCGCAGTGGAGTGCCAGTGGCCACATCAGCATGCGCTGAATGTGCAACGCAGCTGCGCGAGAAGCTAGCGGAAGCTTTACATAAAGCTCGGTATAATTTCAGCACTGCTAAGGCACAGCAGAATGCGCAGTACGACCGCACGCATCGGAATGTACACTATAAAGTGGGTAATCTGGTGCTGCGGCGCCATGATGTTCTCAGCGATGCTAGCAAACAGTTTGCTGCCTCGCTGGCACCAAAATGGTCCGGGCCGTACCAAGTGCAAGAGAAAGTTTCCTGGCTCGTTTATTGGCTCGCGGACATGAAAGGCAAACCAAGCGGCGAGCCAGTGCACGTATGTGACTTGAAACGCTACATGTCGCGGGAGGAGCACGAGGACTACAACCAGTCCCCCTCTAAGCCGCGCACGGCGGGTGAGATCTCTCGACACCAAGTGAGGAGCCCAGAACCGCGCGGCGGGTGAGATCGCTCGACACCGAGTGAGGAGCCCAGAACCGCGTTACTTCCTGCGTAACAAGCGGAGACAACTATGCACGGTAGGCTGCATTTGATATGTCCGACGCGAGGTGCAAGTGTTCGCGCACAACGCATGTGCAATTGTTAACCTTTCTTTCTTTCTGTGTCAACTCTCACCGAACAGATGGAGCGCCATTGGGGAAAAGAGTACCGCCGGAACAACTAGGAGTGGAGACCATCTCCCTACAACAAGAGAGCCCAACAGTCGCAGCTTAGGCCATGCTGCAGCGGGCGGCCCGGGAGGCAAACTTCGCGCAGTGGCTGCTGAGAGTTGCCTCAAGCTATGCGGCCGGTGCGAGTCCGCCTGAGCGGCTACCGGTGGTGTCTACCTTGGGGGAGGAGGCGGTGATGCCAAGAGAGGCAGAGGCGGCGACCACGTCGACGCCAGAGGTGGCACCACTGACGCAGGGGGCTGGTGAGAGAGTGGTGGGGGCTCCGGCGGTGCCCGCGGCAAAGACGAGTTGATCGAAAGGCATAGATGTCGACCAGGCGGTGATGGCTTTCCTGGAGGACGAATGAAATAATTATTGCCTTGCAGTCTCTGTCGTTCGGGAGTCTTCTTAAGGGGGGAAGGATGTGGGGGAGCACGTGCACCTAGCCTCCTTTTCCCTTTTACGGCAGCGTGAAAGCCTGGTTGCATAGACTGTCCGCTCAAGAGTCAATAAAGCCTCTTGCGAGAGGATGGAACACCCTCGCGGCCAGCACTCGCGATTCCCCCTTTTAGGGCGCGCGGAACGGGTTTCCCCTCTCTTAGCCAGAAGGTATTATTCTCGCCAACAAAAGGGGAACCGGGTCAGTGAACAAAGCTAGTGTGCGGACAGCCGCACACTCTCCGACACCGGCCAGGAACGAAGGAGGTTGAGCCCGCAACCTCCTACGAGCAGAGGATGTCAATGACCAAGGAGTAAGCGTCTCCTCATGTTTCTGTACTATCTCCACGCGACACTTGCCTGCTATTGCTAAAGCCTAGCAATAAACGCGACACTTGCCTGCTATTGCTAAAGCCTAGCAATAAAGTGTTCCTGTTGACCTAGCCTGTTGCTTTATTCGCCCGAACCTATGTAGCTGCAATGAGACTATCTAGGTATAGGGGACGTTAATCGTTCACGGTACTACTGTGTGCGGCTGAAACATTAGCTAAGCTTCTTCGTCAGCCGTACATAGGACGGACCCCCTACAGGCGCGGACACCGAGGACAAGTAGAACAGTTCGCAGGCAACACGCCCTCGCACACCTCCGATGCAAAAAGTTGTCCGAGCCGTGACCCGACCGAGCATTCTCACGTTAGTAGAGATAGGTAGATAGAGTGGGGTGAACGCTTGAGCAGTTCTGGTGACCTCTCAAGAGGTTTAAGTGTTAGGGTACGGTATTCTAGGAACCCTAGTTCGGGGAAAGCTTTGTTGGAACAAAAAACTTGCCCCATTTGAAAGCTTGCCTGCTCAGCGAGTGGCAGGCCGAGCAGGCAAGTTCCCCGCCCCACCTGAGCTGGCTCGGGCGCGCTTGGAAACGCAAAATATGCGAGTAAATACGGACGGTATTAGCTGTGTTTCATATCTCGGCAATTATTTGTAAGGTAAAAAACAGCATGAACAAACCGATGAAACACCATGCGGCGCTACAGAGCTCTGTGAAGAACCACTACATGTCGCCTTCTCGCGCTAAACTCCACTCGTTGAGCAGATGCTGGGAAGCAGTCTCACCTAGACGAGAATGACATTCTCGAGACAACAGCTGTGACCTTTATAACATGCTGGATATCTTTAGAACAGAGCGCGGTAGCGATGACTCACTTAGGAGATAACAAAACACGGCTGTGTGACACATTGTCGCTATCAGCACTGATGTCCGATAAGTCGCAATCATCTTCCATTGTCAAAAAATGATGATTCAGCCTTGCTGAAATCTACCAAAATTTGCCATTTCTTAGAGGCTGGTGTGTGCAATGTCAATACAACCTTTGAAGCAATGAGCGTTTGCTCGCAGTAAACTCCCTGCAAGGTGGAAAAGGTGAACTATAAAGCGAAACAAGTGACGCCTTCTACACACGATTGATGATGCTAGTGCAGGGCAAAATATGCGTTGGAAATTATCGATAGTGGGCACACGATGGGCAATCGAGTGTTGAGCTACGACCTAATTGATTGATTGATATGTGGGGTTTAACGTCCCAAAACCACCATATGTGAACTACGACCTATTACACAGATCACACGAATAACACTGATTTGCTATGTGATTGCAAAGCAACACTTTTATCTACGTTGTTGCACATAATGATGCTGCAGTGATTGTGGCTATATGATAGATGTTAAAGCCTCCACTGGTTAAGCTTTCACATGGTGTGATGCTTGGTGCTATACGGTAGCATTTGCATAGTAGCACACGTGACTCTGTGCAATAGGATGCCCATAGAGTTTTGTTTCCAAAGATGCTTGAAGAATCACACAAGGTGCTTTAGTCTGATTATGGCTAGAACTGAATGTTGTCTTTTCTGATGTGCGACAGGCAGACGATGACCCTACTGGAAACTATATGGTCAGTTGCCAAAAGCAGGCAACAGTATCTTGAATATGAGCAACGACATCTATTAGGAACAGGTCTCAATGGCTGCGATGCTCAAACACGAGCAGTGCACCGGAATCATCGCGCACAGTGTCAAAACACTTCTTGGCTAAGCTGTCAAGTGAAGGTCTTGAAAGAATAATCCATAGCACACTCGAGACCTGTAAGAGGATCACGGGGCATAAACATAAGCGTGCACAAAAAGACGATTAGGTTGAGCCAAATTCGGTCATCCACTTCTCGTACTTCTCCAGATCCTCCCGACTGACTGATTTGTTGATCTTGCGTATGGCCTCCTCGAAGTCCTCTCGGCTGACCGGAAGCTCGAGCTCTTCCTTGGTGAGGTTGCGAATTTCCTCTGGAGTGAGACCGTGTATTCTTCGTCGCATTGCCATCATTGAAGCATCCCTGCAGACGACCAGTTACATCTCAGTGACTGCAAATGCCTACATTAGTGCATAAAGGAAGCCTGTAGACATATTGAGGGCCTGTTTTTAATCAACAACGGTGGCAAAGAAACTATAGGGAATGTTATTTTATTGTAGTAATGTAAACTTGAAGAAAGAAAAGTGGATGAAAAAATAACTTGCTGCTGCTGGCAGGGAACAAACCTTCGAATAATGCGTCCGATGCTCTTCTAACTGAAACATCCCATCGCCTACGTTTCGATATATATATGGGTATTTAAACCTGGGACTGTCCTGTCTCAACAACATACGAATCAAATAAACTTGCCATCATCACAGAGCTGAAATTGACTTTTATCACGTAAAATTAATGCAATAATACCCAAAAATAGAATTTACATAAAATGCTATCTGGCACCAATCCTTATTCATAATAATCTTGCACATCACAAATGTCTCATAGCTACCAGGCTAGAGGAATATGTTGTTGAAGTGTGCAGAGGACATATTTCCTGACATAGGGCACAAGAACACAGTAGCCTCTTTTAAAAGGACACTTAACAGAAACAAGTGATGAATTGAGATTGATTTCCCCGTCATACGTTCATCAATAGAGGAGAAATCAAAGTCGAAGTTTCACTTTTAAATTTTGTGCCGAATATCTCTGCATGTGATGTCAGATTTGAAGGTGAATTTTTTGTACTAAACACGCACAGCACTCTGTACATGTTTGGTGCCAGGGTGTGCAGTGTTTTTGGAAATGAGCAATCAACTACAGTCGCCGACCGATTTTCCGGACTCCAAAAATTCGGACTTGTTGGATATTCCGGACTTCATAAATGCACCTTCAGGGATCCCATAGAGCTAATGCATTGTTTCGACCGATTTTTCGGGCGAATTTGCCCCTGAAAGTTCGATTTTTCGGACTAAATCGCTCGTTTTGTGCCACGCCCCAAGTCATTGTGAACGCCGCCATGTTGGATTTTCCGTCGGCTTGGCTAAGCTTGGTCTTCAGATGCCTTTCCTGCCTCCGAGATTGGAATGCCGCACGCCATATTTTAAGTTTCGGAGGCCATGTTTGCTTTTTAAAAGACGCGGTGATGAATGCCGTTTTTTCGTCTTTGGTCAGCACTATCGTCATCACATGCACGGGGAGGAGGCGAAAGGAGGATTCTTTTATTGTCGTTGCAGCTTTTTTCAGTTGCCATTCTGCACGTGTTGTGTCGCGTAGCGGCGAGACGTTGTGTGCTTCGCAGCGGCTATCTGCGGCATCGAATTTTGTGTTCTCGGTGCCATGGCTCCGCCATCTGTGCCATCGCGGGAGCCAGGTGGTGTTAAGAAGCGTGCGTGGAGGCCACTGACGACGAAATTCTTCGCCAGGTTGTCCCGGAGCCGGAGAGCGGCTCGGATGACGACAACGACGACCGCCCGCAGCCGTCGTCGGCGGAGATCGCCAACGCGGTGACAATTTTGTCGAGCGTTTACGGCGACGATGCCACCTTGGCGCAAATACGGGCAAACCAAATTGCCTCCAAGCGTAGTTTGAGGCAAGGCAGCATCAAGGACTTTTTTAAACCTTCCTGATGCAATAAACTTCAGATTTTTGGCGAAAACGAATTTTTCGGACTGTTCGATTTTTCGTACTTTTTTTCGGTCCCCGCCAGGTCCGAAAAATCGGTCGGCGACTGTAGTTCTCTTACGGTTACCAATATAATGAAGCATTCAAGTAACCATAGAGCAGCAAGCATGATAGCCAGTAACAGCACTTTGCCCAAATGACACCTTGTGCAACCTTCACTTCCCACTTGAACACACCCGGACATGGAAAGCAGCTCAGAAGCGATGCTACCCAAATTGACAATTCTCCTGCAGCTTATGTGAGCGAATTCAACAAACTGCTGAATTCCAGTGAAGGTGCTCAACCTGATTATGGTCACAGAATGCAGACTGCCCCCATTTCAGCAGATGTGACACAGATGTCATGAAATATACAAATCAGAGGGCTGCTTTCAGGGTGGTGGGGTCAATAGGAGTTACGATGCAACAAGGTTTGCCTTGTAGCACTTCATTTACTTTTCATGATGTAGCATCATGCCAATGAGAACCACTACTGCCTATGTACTAATAATAAAATGACAACTTGCATACCAACCTGCAGACATTGGTGATGTCAGCTCCGGAATAGCCTTCTAGTTGCTCCGCAATGACGTTGACGTCAAGCTCGGGGCAGACCTCGACATCCTTCAAGTTGATCCTCAGCAGCGCCTCCCTCCCAGCACCTCGAGAAACGCAAGAACATACAGGTTGCCTCCAAAGCCCCACACATAATTTGTTTTTGTAGCACCACAGTGCCCTAAAGGAAGGTTTGAGCTGGCTATGCTTTAGTGCAGAGCTTCACACAAATTGCAAAAACCCGTTTGCATATGATGCTGTCGTCATGTACACTGCTAAAGACACAGAACCTTTCAACCAATGCACTTGCCTTCTTCAGGGCTGCAAATGCCTTTCAAGCCGATTCCAGAAGACAGGTACACTTGTCCAATGTTGGCACGAGCTCACACACACACCCTGTTTTTTCATCGCAAGCTTGCATATTCCTGCCACTTTAAAAAGCTTCGTAAGACATCTATGGAAGACCTTGTACATTGTGGGATGCACATCTTCCTTGAGAAGTCTTGTTCAAAGTGTTGTAAAGAATTTTTCTCAACAGGATAGGAAAACATCAGTCACAAAAATGCATGACAATAGCTTGTCACTAAATTTCTATCTGTTTACCACATGTAGCAGCAGTTGCTCATTTTTTCAACACTTAACTGCAAGCACAGCGCACTTTGATGAACAGTTGATGTCCAGTGTTTTTATTATGAATTTCCGATGGGCAAGTCAGTTTAAAGTGCTCTCATTGCAGAAAAATGCAGGTTTTATATGTGCACCATCTATTTCAAAGCTATGCTTTCTACATTACACAGTCGAACCCACATATAACGGCCCCACTTAAAATGAACTTTCGATTAAAACAAACAATATCCGTGTGACCATGAAAATATACATTAGTTCAATGGCACAAAATCGCACTTACAACCAACGTCTCCGAGCGCCGCTGATCGGTTACAGCGAACCGAGTAAGCGGTCTGCCAACTTCCCGGGAAAAACCAATTTCCACTACCGATCAAGCATTGGCGCGGTGCCTATACATTTTTATTGTTAAACGCCGACCCTGCCTCCATGCCCCTCTAGTTGCCGCTCTCCCCGACCGCTTTTTGTTACGCACCCGTCCGTCCTTTGTGCCCCCGCTACTCTGAGTTGTGCCCCCGCTACTTTCGTGTTTAGGACTTGTTCTCGCTCACTTCGCACTCAACTCAGCATGTCTTCCGCGCGCGGGCAGAAGCGCGAAAACGGCTGTCAATTTTCGTGGAACGAATCGCGAAATATCGAACTTCATGAGGCCACGCAAACCCACCGACGCAACAAAACGATTTTTTCACCGCGGCCGCCGATTCTTCGAACACCGACGCGCGCACCGATTCAGGCGGCCATGCACTCTTTCGAAGTTTTAAAGACGTTAGTCTTTCTTGGGGACCTTGGACGCAGAAATTTTGGTCCGTCTGTGTGTCTGTACATTTGTCTGTTTGTCCACTCTTAACGGCATCGGGTACTTGAAATGGCCGACCCCAGCCGCAGCGGCCTCCTATGTTGCTCAAGGTTGAGCGTTCATGCCTGTGCAATTGTCAATTAAAAAGCAATTATTGCACATGTCTGGGGCACCATAACAACACGTATATATTCTGCATGTGCGTCTTTTACAAGAAAAGGCACACATAAGAAGTTTAAAAAACCGCAACACTTATGACGCTGCGCTGACCATGCAACGCTTGCATGGAAAGGCGAGTGTTTCCAACGCTTTGCTAAAACGAAACGGTGGTGGCACATACCCGTTGTCATGTGTTCTACACCTTATCACCTCTGAGATGGGTGCGCACACCCATCTCGGAGCCACGCGCTTTGTTTTCTAAGACAACTGCGAGATGGCATAGAGTTTCCTAATATACACTAAAGAGAACTCTGGCGCTAGTGTCTATGCGAGCTGCAACGCACGGCACTTCAGCGAGCATGAGAATGAGGGTAGTACACACATTTGTCTAATTTTCGTACTTCTGGCCTGCTTCTGCCTCCGTGTGTGTTCGTGTGGCTTGGAGCTCTTTTTTTTTCCAAAGAAAAAAAAAAAGTTAGCGAATGTTCAGCGTTTGCGCTTCACAACCTTATTTTTTTAGGCTTACCATTTCGAATCGGGTCACAAAGTTCAAAAGTATTCGTTCTTTCCTTCGAAACAAAACCGTAACCAGCAATTAACGAAGCCACAAGTACGATTCGCCGCTTGCAAGTACGAAGACTAGGCAAATGTGTTTACTACCCATCATTCCCATGGTCGCTGAATGATCACAGCGCCAGAGTCCCCTCTAGTTCATTTTAGTAAACTCTATGCCAGACGGCACTTATGTCTCACGTGCGACGTGACTTGATGCGCTCGTTCACCTCCGCTGCATGCTCGAGGCACTCTAACGCAGCGCCTCTAAAATACCATTCATCGATTTTCTTGCGCAGAACACCAAATAAATGTCTTGTTCACTCTCTGCACATGCAAGACCATCGTCTTTCGATGACATTTGCAGATTACATGCAGATATGGGGCCAATTTTTTCTACGTGCAAGTTTCGCGTACCTTTCAAGCAAGCTACCCAACCTGCCTCTTTCCTGTGTGTTTTGGTTTTCAAGGTCGCCCTCCCGCCGCATCCTCCCTTCTCTTTACTGCAACTCTTTGTCCTTCTCTCGCAAGTCTGCTCTCCTCTCTTGATCACAACCCCTTCGCCCGTCTTCACCGCTCCTAGATGCCCGCCATGCTGGCTCTAATAGGTTTCGTTTTCTGACTGGAAACGGGTCCAGAGCTGTTCCACGCATTCTGGCATGTGTGTCGCGTGTGCGTGTGTGGTCATGATGGCCGACGCGAGGACTAGCACCCTTTTTCGTGCCGCTCAACAAAACGTCGAAAGTGTAACCGCTTGGCTTGAGCGTAATCCGCGCGTTAAGTGCTGCGTTGCGGAGCGCTTGGTCATCGCTGTTGACCACCTGGCAGCCAACTTGCCACTTTGGGCGTACCGGTATTCAGCTGTGGAGATGGTGACTATTTCGTGGGCGGCGGTGACGGCTACATGCGTGCGAAACTGTTTTCACGAGGCCGACCTCGTCGACGTCGGGCCCGATGCCGAGCCTGAAGCTTCCGAACAGGACCACTGCGGCGGCGATTTGTGGCATCGCGTCGTCGACTCCGACCTGGAAAGCGAGTGGGACATCTGTTGTGATGGTTTAATTACGGCCGATGATGATGCCGACACTGCGGAACCGTGCAGGGATTAGGGCATTGTGAATGAAGTACGTGGCGAGAGTGATTTGGAAGAATTGGATTGCGAGAAAGACAACAACTTTGAAGCCAGTGCCTTATGCAGCTTATGTCACGGGCCTCGGCGAACGAGCACCCTGCCGTTTTAAATGAACTCGAGACCGCCATTATCGCTTCTGCTCTCCTAAACACGCGCATCACGGACTTTTTGGGGCAAAAAAAGTTTGTGTTTTCACTTGCAACTTTTTTTAAAAGCTGTGTTTCATTTACTACGAACTTCGGGATACAGCTAACGGATGACTCGTCATGCTCAGGTTTAATATAAGCAGGCTCAACTGTAGTAAAATAAATATTCTTGAGAAATGTTTCAATAAAATCACTTCTTGATCTGTGGGGATTAAACATGACAGACTCTTTGGAAAAACAACTATGGAGCAAGCCACACTTTGTTGAAGGGTAAATGAATTGTAGCACTGTATTTAGTGCACACGCAACTCCTAAGTTCTCCAAATCTAACAAAAGAAGAATGCCTCAATGCTGCAATATGGATCGACTTTGCAATGTCTATTGATAAAATGATACGAGTAATGGTGTTTTCAAATCCAAAATGAGCTACCCTCAATGAATTGCAAAATCACTTCTTTAAACGATGAAAATATTCTAAGGGACACTAAAGAGCAAAATCAAAAACACCACTCTAACCGTGACACAATGCTTAGTACGTGAGAAAATGCACGAAAAGAAAATTAACATTCTATGCACCATTACATTGACACAAAAAATTTCAAAGGCATCTACTGGGTCCTACGTATCTTCCAATCAATAAAAATAAAATACAAGGTAGTTTGTGGGTGCTCTAGACTTAGCATACAGTTTCATCAAGCCAATGCCACGAAAATATTCAAGATAAATTTTAAAGCTTTTTACGTCACGTGCAGAGATTTTGGCACAATATTTAAAAACGAAACATTGTCTGCTAATAATGAACTTGTGAAATATTAGGCATTCTCAGAGTCAATCTTAAGCAAGTGAAGTCAGGTCCCATCGTGAAATGAAATCTCGCTTGGGATAAAACCAGAGTACCCTCACACTGTTGGGCAGAGGAATGTAGATGCGCTTCTCGAGCCTCCGGCGCAGTGCCTCATCAATGTCCCAGGGAAAGTTGGTGGCTGCCAGCACCATCACCACCTTGGCTGGGTCCTCATTGTTAGTGATGCCTGCAGCAAAACACCACCCCTGCAGTAGATGGCACTACCTCCAGAGCAGCCACCCACCGTCCATCTGAATGAGCAGCTCTGATTTCACACGCCGGCTGGCCTCGTGCTCCGAGTCAGAGCCTCTCCGTGAACACAGGGAATCGATTTCGTCAATGAAGATGGTGCTGGGGGCATGGAACCGAGCCTGCAATACAACACACATTACGGTGCACCTAGTATCTTCTGAAGTACTGTTTTCTATGTAGTCCAGGTTCATTCTTTGTATAACCTTAATCGTGACAAGTTATGTACAACTGAAACTCAATTTAACAATGTGATGGGGATGCTCAAACTAGTTGCTTAAATTAAGAAGAAAATTTTGCTTGCTCCTTCAAAAAAATCTCAAATTTTAACATAGCAGGGCCCACAAGCATTGTTTCTGTCAGAAAAATCCACAGGGGCGACCAGACATAAGGGTCACCATACAGCTGCGACCACCGACCGATATGCAATAACGCAGAGAACAAATACAGTGACTGCATCAGCAGCTGAAACACTTTTAAGAGCAGGAAAACCGGAACAAAGTATGACACCAGATGACCAATGAAGGCTTATTGAATGTATTACTATGCTGTGCTAATCACCGTCACACATTTGCACACCACTTCCTCAGAAAGCAGCTCTTTCTCTTAAAGGGGTGCTGACACAGGCTAAATCCCACGGAGACAACATCTATGCCTCTATAATCTCACCAGTGAGCCTGTTGCCACTTCTGCTGACAACAGTATACAGAAAAAGGAGTTTCACAGTCAAGAGACCAGCAGTACATTGCCTACCAACCATCATGTGCCGCCTTGGTTACATTTTGTGCATGCTCTTTCAGCCATTCATTCGGACATATTCTGTCCTATACACTCCAACTTCATAATAACATAGTTGCATCTTACACGAAAATAGGCTGGTTATATATGAAAATTTGTTTTCAAGGTTTATTCATAACAAGAGTATTCACTGCATGACTATTTTTCATTAGCTTTGTTATAACCAATATTTTTGTTACATTGAGGTATGAGCGTCTAATGTTAACCATGTAGCAGTGGAATACGATAAAACTACATTGGTAGTGCAGGCAACAAATGGGCTTTGTTGAACACAAGAGCATTTCTCCAAGCTTCATTTGTAGATGATTGGCTCTTGGGAGAGGTCCATGGTGAAAATACCACGGCTCATTCCTCAAGGCTTCCATGGTATGTTATGATTAGAGACCGGATAATAGGCAAATGCCTATTTTGTTCCTTGCGTTCCTATCATGCCATTTTGATATATGAGCATGAATTAGAGGTTAAAAAGGGCTTTTATGGTGTTTTTATGGTGCCTACAAATGCCTATTTTGGACGTTCGTGCCTATAAATGCTTGTTTTCCAAATGAGCGCATATATGAGCGCTATTCAAGCCTAAGCATTGTTTTTGAGCGTGGTGTGAAGCCGTTATTTATGTAAAAAAGGCAATATTGATATTGTCACGGGGTTGTGACGTGGCCGAAGACAGGAGACTTCGTGTTGGGATTTAACTGTTTATTTGGGCGAACCTGTGCCCGGTAAACGGAAAGTTAAATTACAGCAGCAGTCTCGCACAGATAGCAGTCTCGGACTGATAGCGGCGAACGGAGCGTCGGCCTTCGATCAACAACTGACAAGTGGCGAAGCGCGTCGGCATTTATACTCTTGCCGTCGAATGTTCTAGCGTTATCGCTGGCGGTGGCGTAGGTTCCAGAACAATCTGTACCGTTCGGACAGTGAATGTGATCTTATCAAAATGATCTACTACAGTACGGAACCTTCTCGAAAACTGCAGGCGCGGTTTGCGCCGAGAATCGTGTGGTGTTTTGGGACGATAACAAAAACTTAGGAAATGAAACGTGGCATTGCCCCCCTTTGAAAAAAAGGCACCGTCCTGATGCTTTAACTAAAGATGAAGGTACAATAATAATGCAAGAAAGTACAATCAATAAATTACGATGCAACAATTATACTAAAAAAAAACACTGTTTCAGTTTGTTAACGCACATGAAACGGCTTGAGGCGCGCGACATGGATGACTTCAGGTCGCCATCGGCGTCATTGAGAGTTCGTGATGCCGTCGGGGACAACCTCGGAATCAAGTGGGCCGAGGCGTCGAACCACCCTGTACGGTCCGAAGTACAGTCGCAGAAGCTTTTCACTTAGTCCACGTCGGCGTCCACACCCAAACACGTTCACCGGGCTGGTATTCTACGAAGCGTCGTCGAAGGTTGTAACGGTGGCTGTCGGTCGTCCGATGATTCTTGATACGGAGACGCGCAAGTTGTCGGGCTTCTTCGGCGCGTTGAAGGTACTCGCTCACATCTAGGTTTTCTTCGTTGGTGACGTTGGGTAACATGGCATCAAGCGTCGTTGCCGGGCTCCTTCCGTAGACCAATTTGTATGGAGATATCTGTGTCGTCTCCTGCACCGCCGTGTTGTATGCGAAGGTCACATACGGAAGAATGGCGTCCCATGTCTTGTGTTCGACATCGACGTACATTGACAGCATGTCGGCGATCGTCTTGTTAAGCCGCTCGGTGAGGCCGTTGGTCTGTGGGTGGTACGCTGTCGTCCGGCGGTGGTTTGTTTGGCTGTATGCCAAGATCGCTTGAGTTAAGTCGGCAGTGAATGCCGTTCCTCTGTCCGTGATAAGGACCTCCGGGGCGCCGTGACGTAGGACGATATTTTCGACGAAGCACTTAGCTACCTTGGATGCACTGCCTTTTGGCAGGGCTTTTGTCTCGGCGTAGCGGGTGAGGTAGTTGGTAGCTACCACGATCCACTTGTTTCCGAAAGCCGACGTCGGGAACGGCCCTAGTAGGTCCATACCAATCTGCTGGAAAGGTCGGCAAGGTGGATCGATTGGCTGCAGAAGTCCCGCTGGCCTTGTCGGCGGTGTCTTGCGTCGCTGACAGTCCCGGCATGTCCTCACATAATGAGTGACGTCGTTGGTAAGACATGGCCAGTAGTACCTTTCTTGTATCGTCGCGAGCGAGCGAGAAACACCGAGTTGCCCTGCTGTCGGATCGTCGTGCAGGGCCTGCAGGAGTTCTGGTCGCAGAGCTGAAGGCACCACAAGGAGGTACTTAGCTCGAAGCGGTGAAAAGTTTTTCTTTTGGAGAAGACAGTTTCGCAGGAAGAACGACGCAAGTGCGCGCTTGAATACCTTCGGGACTTCGGCGGTCCTGCCTTCGAGGTATTCTATTAGGGCCTTAAGTTCCCGATCGGCCCGCTGTCGTTCAGCGAAGTCGTCGGTAGTTATCGTTCCCAAGAAGTAGTCGTCATCCGGGTCGTCGGGTGGTGATTGGTCGACAGGCGCACGAGAGAGACAGTCCGCGTCGGAGTGTTTCTTGCCGGACTTGTAAATGACAGTAATGTCATGTTCTTGAAGTCTCAGGCTCCATTGTGCGAGGCGACCTGAAGGATCCTTCAAAGTGGCTAGCCAACGCAAGGCGTGGTGGTCGCTCACAACTTTGAAGGGTCTGCCGTAGAAGTAGGGGCGAAATTTGGACGTAACAGATGATGGCGAGGCACTCCTTTTCTGTTGTGGAATAATTGGCTTCTGCTTTGGATAGTGATCGGCTGGTGTAACTAATAACCCTTTCAAGTCCGTGAGCCCTCTGCACAAGAACGGCGGCAAGACCTACACTGTTTGCGTCAGTGTGTATTTCTGTCTCGGCGAATTCGTAGAAATGGGCAAGTAACAGAGGCAAGTAACTAATAACCCTTTCAAGGGCAAGTAACTAATAACTAAAATGGGCAAGTAACTAATAACCCTTTCAAGTCCGTGAGCCCTCTGCACAAGAACGGCGGCAAGACCTACACTGTTTGCGTCAGTGTGTATTTCTGTCTCGGCGAATTCGTAGAAATGGGCAAGTAACAGAGGCGTCTGTAGGCGATGTTTAAGCTCCTGGAAAGCGTGTTCCTGTGGCATTTCCCACTTGAACTCCACGTCGGATTTGGTAAGGTTAGTGAGAGGATCGGCGATGTAGGCGAAGTTTTTCACGAACCGCCTATAATAGGCGCAGAGGCCCAGAAATCGGCGCACGGCCTTCTTGTCAGTGGGCGGCGGGAAGTCGGCGATGGCGGCTGTTTTCCGTGGATCGGGACGAACTCCAGACTTGCTGATAACGTGCCCCAGAAACAAGAGCTCCTCATACGCAAATCTGCACTTTTCTGGCTTCAGTGTGAGTCCGGACGTCTTGATGGCTTGAAGTACAGCTTCAAGGCGCCGAAGATGCTCGTCGAAACTCGAGGAAAACACGACGACGTCGTCCAAGTACACAAGGCAAGTCTGCCACTTTAATCCTGCCAGTACTGTATCCATAACGCGTTGAAAAGTTGCAGGCGCTGAGCAAAGGCCGAAGGGCGTTACCTTAAACTCGAAGAGGCCGTCTGATGTTATAAATGTCGTCTTCTCTCGGTCTCTTTCGTCGACTTCGATTTGCCAATAGCCAGTTTTGAGGTCCATTGACGAAAAGTACTTGGCGTTATGGAGCCGATCAAGTGCGTCGTCTATTCGTGCGAGAGGATACACGTCCTTTCTTGTGATTTTGTTCAGGCGGCGATAATCGACGCAGAAACGTAGGGTCCCATCCTTTTTCACGACAGACAGTGTTGCTGTAGTGTGAGGTGCTTGCAACTTGCTGAGCTCTTCCCTGATCACCGACCTGATGAGTTCTCGCAGGGCGTCCATGTCACTTCGCTGGTGTCCAGAGAAGACATTGGCAGGTGCGTAGTTTATGTCTCGATTGTACTGTCGAGCCCGCTGTTCTAGCGTTTTCTCGATGGCTGTCGCTTCCGTATGAAGCTCCGCAACTGTTCGTGGTGGGTTGCGGACGAGAACAGCGAATAGCTCTTGCTTCACCCCACGCATGAGGTGGCGTAGCTTCTTGTCTTCAGTCATATGGGAATCTGCGCGCTTGAACAGGCGGATCATGTCCTCGATATACATTGCGACACTTTCGTTGGTGAGTTGGTTCCTGGATTCGAGCGCAGCCTGCGCCTTTTCTTTGCGATCCGCGCTGGCATAGGTCGCCAGAGCTTGTCGCCGAAATTCATCCCAGGTCGTAAAGGAGGTTTCATGGTTCTCATACCACGTCTTTGCAAAGTCCTCCAAAGCAAAGTATACGCGGCGGAGCTT